CATGTGTTAACCTTGCCATCACTTCTTCTCTTTCCATCATCTCTCTGCCTTCAGTTCCTGTGTGGTTCCCTCCAAATCACAGGTGAACAGCTGTTTGTGTTTGTGTAAGTAGAGCCATGGTTAAGACCTGGGGATGTTTGATATTAAAGCTCAATGTTAAGTTCAAAAAAATACCATAGGAGTGAGGTTAAATTTAGTATGAACTGGACAATGTCACTGTTAGCCAAAAGACTGAGATCATTACCAACTAGAATTCCCCAAATACATGTTGTCCTGATTGAACAAGGCAGCTGGTAATGATGTTAATCCCTTGAGGTTTGCCCCATCCCTGTGTTGCTGTGTAAGTACATGCTGGCACTAAATGACCAAAAGATGTACACAGGAACCAAGACCAGTCAGCACACCTGTAACTTAACCCTGCTAGAAGTTATACAGCGGAGGCTGAACATTTGTTAAGGCTAAGGTGGTCTTTGTTCTTGGGATAAATGCCTGATAGCTCTTGGCTTCCATCAGTTGTTTGGGGGCGGGAACCATGGTCCATCAGGGTGCAACAGTAGAGATAGCTGGAGCTGGCCCTGAGCATCTTCCTCTCTGCCCTTTCTCTTCACCCTTTCTCTTCTCTCATTTGGCCCTTAAACAACTCTTTATTCATGTCCAGCTTTAAATTCATCTCTTTTCCACAAGCTCATCTCTTGACTTAGCTTTGGTCTCTGGATCTCAGAACCCAAAGCCACAGTTGCTGGCTGGTGGCTCACTAATTTTCCACACTTCATCTCTTAATATGACCAACTTTCAATGGCCATTTTGGCTGTCAGCTTCTGGTCTTGTCTCAGATCTGCTTCTTGCTTTTGGGAATGCCAATTCCTTTCATAAAAAATCCAGTTGTCCCTAATCTGTGACTGTTCAACTTCTAAGTACCCACATGTATTAATAAATAGTAGAAAGTGATACAGTAGTCCCACTGTACACATGCACGTACACACTGACTCTGGCTCGTAAATGGGACATATCTGGACAGTGACTGACTGAGACATATTGGCCTTTGTAAATCTGGAGGTCTAGCCCCCAGGTTTGTAAGTCAACATCTTCTAATCCTGGCAGTGAAATACCCAGTTCTAGTCATATGGTTCATTTTTGCCTCCAAGTCTAGAATCAATCAAATTCCAAAGCTGTTGAGATCCTGTGTTACCATTTGAATTGCATTCAAGTTCAGGTTCATCTTGAATCCCTTTCTCAGGCAGGTCATCTACTGCCTGGCCTCTAATGGACAGCTTGGGATTCCAGAGACCCACTACTGTACTTCTGATTATACCTCTGCCAGTAGCCTGTCTGCCTTTCTAGATGTCCCAGACCCCATGTGTTAATTTGACTTTCCAGTTCTGTGCTTGGATTTTACTAGCATGATCCTAGCCTTGCTGAGGGCCTGTCATTATCAAGAATTGACTTCTCTAGGGCAGTTGGAAGAAGACCGACATGTTGCAGCCTTAAAAGGAAGAGAGGGAATAAACAAAGGATGATATATTGGCTATTATCCTCTCTCTCTCTCTTCCATCATCTCTCTCTCTCCGTCCTTCCCCCTCCCTTCCCATCTCCCTTTCTTTCCTCTCTTCCTTCCTTTCTTCCTTCTTCCCTTATTTTTATTCAATAAACATAGTATGTTAATTACATACTATGTAGGAACCTGTAAATCTAATTGAAAAGAACTTCCCCTACCTCGAGTTTTGGTCACACACACACACAGAAAAACAATTAAAGGGACTATTAAGCACCAAAATGAATGATACAAATAGAAACAGTTCTAATAGTTGAAAGGAAAGCAAAATAGCATCTAAATGAATCTTAGACTAAAAATTAATAACATATGTCATACTGTCTCTTATTTATTGAGCATTTCTACATCTGTATAAGACCAGGAATTTCTCTATAGCAATCACTGCTCAGGTATTTTCAGTTCACCATATGGTTGCTGTCCCCAAAGGGTGTGTGTGTGTGTGTGTGTGTGTGTGTGAATACCTAGAGAGGGTTCTTAAGATTTCTTTAAAATGCACATCTCTATGAGGTAGAAATCATCTTTAGTTCACCAAAGAGGAAACCAAGGCTTAGAGGAATAAAGTAAATTTTATAACCAGTAAATGGCAGGGCTGAGTTTGCTACTCTGAGGAAACAGTGAGTGATAAGACTTAGAAGGTAAGCCCAGAGTCATCTGTGAAAGTTCATGAGTGCTGGAATGAAGAACTCGAACTAGAATCAAAGACAATAAGGAGTCCCAGTAATTGTTTGGTAGAGAAGCAAGTCAATGACCTCAGTTTTAAGAGGATTAATTCAGCCAAAAGAACTAGATGCACTGGGATAGAGAGAGCAAAAAGATATTTAGCAACAGACAGATGGCATCCTTTCTACCAGTAAGATCCTCTCCCTTCACAATTCCAACCATTTAGAAACAGAGCACATGACCTTGGTAACCTGTCATGGAAAATACTCCCCATGTGCATTTCTAAGAAAAGTGGGTTTTTGTTTGTTTCTTCAGTCATTTGCCCTTGGATCAATGCCCCAAAATGGTAACTTCTCTCCAATTTTAACTACTAACTGTGTAATTCAACTCCAAAGTTTTATTAAGAAAGAAAAGAAAAGGAAGGAAGGAAGAAAAGAAAGAAAGAGAGAGAGGAAGAAAAGAAAGAAAAAGAAAGAAGGAAGGAAAGAAAGAAAAAAGAAAAAGAAAGAAAAGAAGAAAGGAAGAAAGAAAGAAAGAAGGGAGGGAAGGAGGGAAGGAAGGAAGGAAGGGAGGGAGGAGTCATGAAAGCAAAATAGAAGTTCTCTCTGATCTCACACTATTTCTGATGAATCAGTATGGGGTGAGGAACTCTGTACTAACAGACCTGAAACATACTAAAAATTTCACCACCAGCAAATGGAATTTTGCCAGGAGCTGCTAATGACTGAGATGGCTTAGCATTTGTTACTTGATGGAGAGAGCCCCAGAGGAGACTTCAACTAAGCTGTGGGAAAGCTCCCTTTCTGCTCAGGCTGTTTGCTAGGTTATAGGGTGGGATTTCAAAGGACATAGAATGAGTGGGCTTGTCCCCACAGAGGCTTGTGCCTTTCCCAGAAGAGTTAAGTCCAGTGGTTTCTTCAGGAAAAGGACACAGAGGAGTCGGGGATGGGTGGGCATGCTGACTAATCTATAAAACCAGTGTCCCACGAGGGGCAGAAGTAGAAACCATTTATTTATAATTAGAGATGCAGTCAGCTGTGTGACTTGAAATTTCACGATTCAACATTCTTGGTGAACAAGCTCAATAATAATTGAGAAAACAATCAAAAGTTTAGGCAAGAAATATTTGAATGTATATCAGGTACCCTCTTCTTAATAGCAAGACCAGTACAGGTCTTCTGGCAAGTCACCACTTTGAATTTTAACATTAAACATAACTTTTAAATTCCCCCTGTGTCACTGGGGTTGGTACTATTTAGGGCAAGAGGCTCCCTGGCCAGGGTGGGACACAGGGAGGCAGGTCTGACTTCTCAGGACTTCCTGTCAGAATTGACTTCTGAAAAATATCCCCCATGGGATTCCAGAATCTGGCAACAAACGTAACTGACATTATCCCCAACAACAAGAACTGGAGACCCATGTTTACCATTAGAAAGCATTTGAAGACTTTTCACCTAAAGTTCACTGAAACCAAGACACAGGAAAGCGTTCTTATAATAAGCACGCTTGCAATATGATGTCAAGTGGGGGAAAAAATCAGAATGCGAACCTCCTGATTTCAAATATAGATGCAGGTGGACAGGACTAGGATAGAATTTGCAAACAGGAAAATAATTTAGGTTTAAGACTTTTAAGACACTAAGAGAAGATGTTTTGTCCAGTGACATTGTGTTACTGGTGTATTGATTTTACATTTTTAAGTGGATTGGAAATCCATCCATTTTATAGAATCGAGGTATCATCAGTAGATTGATTTGAAAGAGCTGGGCGTGATCCTCATCCCCCCAAAATTGTTATGAAAAATAAGTGAGTTAACAAAGGACAGCAACTAGCATAGTGCCTGGCACATAGTGGGCCATCTTGTCATTTTCATTAACATTATTATTAGTACTCATCTCAGGTGGAGCCCAAGCTGACCACATCCCCTAAGCTTCTGTACTTGATTTGGTTTCCTCAGTGGTAGTCAGCTTCAGCGCTGGGTGCTTCCTCCTCTCATTGCTAACATCCCACTGTGGTTTGCCTGAGCCTCCCTGAGTGAATTTTGACAACCCGATCCCTCCTGGTGCTATATGTGCGGCAAGATGTAGTTAATGTAAACTGTCTCGTTGAATGACACTGTGAATGCATTAGAAAAAGAGAAACGTGCTGAGAGAACATGCCTGCCACAAGATGCCCACCTTTGCCACCACTCCTTTTTGTTCAAAACATCTGGAGGAGTTTTCTGTTGGCTGACGTCTGTGATGTCTGCTATTCTGGAGAGGACCATCTGAGTCTTCCAACCTCCAAAGCAAGTGAACATTTACAGCTCCCATTTGACATCTTTTATAGGGCATTTTTCTATGTCAAAAAAAGTCCTCAGTGGAAGGTCCAAATTCATCAGTAAATATTTTCCATACACCCCACAGCCTTTTACTGTGAAGACCATCTATTCAATTAAAGTGAATGTTTTATTCTTTCCTGCCCACTCCAGAGGGCAGGCATTTCACTAAAGATGGCTAGCAACCAGGGGTCAGAGCACACAGTCTCTTATTAGGAAAAAGTTTCCTGCTGCTGGAGACTGCCTCAGAAGAGGCCAGAGTCCATTCAATATCTACAAGGAAGCAAAATCCCAGCTGCTCCCAAGCCTTCTCATCGTTAAGGTCACTTAGGGCGCTGTAAATGCATTCAATCAGCTCCCTGATACTGGTACCCTAAGGGGGACTCTGCAGTGTGAACTTCAAAACGGAAGTATCATCCACCTTTCATTAATGCAACACATCTTTATTGATCATTACTGCAATTTATTGACTGTAAGACACAATTGTTGTTGTGTTTGTCTCACACTTAAACATTTTTGAAGTCAGGTGTTCAGGGAAGCCAGGCAGCCGATGGACATACTTATTATTGCTTGTGTGTGGCCATCAACATATTCAGAGTGTCAGTGGCTTGAAGGAAAATCCCAAGGACAAGAGCTGAGCCTCTTTTAAGAAATATTTCTTCATCAATATACCTGAAAACCCAGAAGACGATGCTGTGTGAGAAAAACCCAGACAACAGAGATTTGAGGCTGAGACAGAGTGATTCACAAGACGCAGACTCAAGTATAAAATATTCTAAGGACACCTTAACCAATTTATAATGCAATTTCTTTTTTTTTAAATATGTGCACAGGCATAGTATCTGGAAAATATCTATATCTAAATAAGTCTAAAAGTGTACTTACAAGAAATCATAACTATGTTTTAAAAATAGGAATAACCTAGTTTAAAAATAAGAAACACTGTTTTTAGAACAAAGCCTATTCTGTTTTCCACCTGTGGGATATAGTCTGTTCTCAGGCATGAAACAACGATGTGTGTATTACATTTGGTTAATTATCCAGAGGACATTAGATTAGTCAACGCAGTGGTCTTCCTGTAAGTGCGCCTGCACCTTAGCAGGGTTGACTGTGATTCCATGGTCTGATGAGTCTTCCACCTCGGTTGAGAGTAGCAGCCTCCTGTGAAATGAATTTTGGAGCAACACAATTTGAATAGGCTACTAACAAAAATGCATTCAAAAAGCACTGATTATAAAAAAAATAGGAAAAAATCACATTTATTGAAAATGTGGTAGATGTTGTGCTAGAAATCGTGTATGCATTAGCTCATTCAGTCCCAGCAAGAAATCTGTGAGGCAGATATCCATATCTGTAAATTACACATGGAAAAAATGGACCAGAAGAGTTTTCTACTTGCTCCAAGTTACACAACTGGTAAAGTACAAATATGGGGTTTGAACTCCAAACACTAGGTTCTTTATTATATATTCTTAATACAAAGTATTGAATTATCCCTTAATCAATCTACGCCAAGAATCATCCCACACACAAACACACAAACTAAATTGCTAAACCCACAAACTAAGAGCAAGTAATGAAATGTTTATATAAGTCAAAAGAAATATTGAGCCAAGTAATCACTTATTTCATCAGAGAATGCATTAAAACATAAAATGATTGATGATGATGTAAAAGAAAGTGATCAGCGGACCTCGGGATCTTGACATTGTGTGATACATGAGCCAAACTTGTTATGGAAAGTCCTGAAATTGTTTAACCTGTGTGAGTGAGGGTGGGAGGTCATGCTTTTCAGGTTGCTGACAAATTTTTCTACTTAAGAGAAAAACCACTTCTATATATGTTGTACTCCCCTCCCTAGCATACGCTCAAGATTCACAGGGAGAGAAATACTTTCAGAGTGTTCATTAAACTTCAATGAGAATGCATTCTGATCATAAGGTTTCTGAACCTGAAATAGGTTTTGTTTAGAATGGCTCCCATTTTAAAGACCAGGTACAATTACTGCTTCACGGGAAGCTGACCTCAACCACAATTTTGGACCCAATAGGTAAGAGCAGATGTTTGAATAAGTGATGCTATTTAAAAAGGAATATTAAAAATACTCAGTCTTGATACCTTCAATGAGGAAGCATTAAACTGCAAAAGTAAGGTTATTAATACACAGTGCAGATAAGGATGTGGTGAAGCTTATGTGGACCTATTTTAAGTGAAAGAATATAAATCATATTCTTTATAAATATTGATGTTAAGACTGAAACGTAGACTTCCTAGTCTGATGCCATCTCCATCACAACATGCTGCCTCTCTGAAACACTGAAGAACCTTCTTTTGTACCTGGACATAGCCAACTGTGTACTATGCATTATACTAAAACCAGTGTAACAAACTCAGGCTTGGTTCAGACTGGTGTGAACCAAGAGAGAAGGTCAAATCTATGGAAGAGGAAAAACAACACAGATCTAGGTAAATGCACGGAACTGAAGTTAGCTGGGAGACAGCTCAGTGGACCCAGAGATAGATCCATGGCACCAGGATCTCATTCTGTGGCTTCAGGTATATACAAACCTGTGCAGATTCTCTAGGAAGGAGGTTGTAAAGAACAGGTAGAGAGGCTCAGAGGAGAATTAAGTGGGCTTTGCCTCAAGAAACTCAGAAGGGAAATAGAATGCTGAGCAGGGAACACATTCAGCAGTCCAACTGCAGGGCTTGGGGGTGGGAAATGGAGTGTTGTAGAAAAGGGCTCAGATAAACCCGTATGTTGGCTTCCAGGCTGGTGGCAGAAGGACTCACTCTAAACCTCTAGGTGCCCTTGCAAAGATAAGCACCCTGTTGATCTGAGGTTGTATTAGGGAGTCTCAGTTGCTCCAAATGAGAACCATGTTGTTGGACTGTTCTGAATTAAATTGTCCCAGACATAATCCTTTAACTTTATGCACCTTCTAGAATTTCAGCCCTTTGCTCTTTTTGTCCTTGGCTGATCTCCAGTGGGTTAGAGGAGGAACATACCAGGCAAGAGCAGAATGGGGGATTGCCTATGCCGTGTGCTTTGAGCAAGGAAGGGAGACTCCCTTTGCTTTCAGATCCCTACCAATGGTGTGTTAGTATCTGGAATTTCATTATCTTTTGGGGTTATTATTACTTTCCAAAGATCTTCTTATATTTTTTATTTATCTGTTTTTCTGCCTACCTTTTGTGTTGTCAGATGCATCTTAACTTGCAGTAATGTCATAGAAGGATGACTCCTTTAGCCAACATATATGATTTTCAGCTTCCACAGAAATAGTGTATCAAATGAGAAAAAGTAGATAGGTACATTTTTTTAAATAGAAGAGGAGAGAGTTTGAAAGTATGAGAATCTGGAATGAAGGGGTATGGAGAGAGAGAAAAAAAGAGAGAGAAGGCGGGGAGAGAGAGAGAAATGGCTGTGTTATGTGGGTTATATGGAAGAGTTGCAGGAACATTGGAAAACTAGTGCAGCCTCTGTCCTTTCGGCATAGCTATTATGTGCCCGGCACTGTGCCAACGGCTTTGTATGTTGTGTTTCATGGACAACTCTCTCAAGTAGTTGTGGTTTTCTCCATTTTAAAGATGAGGGATTTGAGGATCTGAGAGCCAAAGACTAGTTTGTCTGTTAGTGAAAAACAGAGGTGAGGTTCTAACTGAGCTCATTTTCACTGCTCCAAAATTCTTTCTCCTCCCTTTATGTTGGTCTCTCTACAAAACATCTCCAAAGACTCACCGTGCCTCATGGAATCACAAATGGCAGCTCTGAAAGAAATGTGTGATCACTGCAACCCAGCCCTCCCAAGGAAGCAGTATAAGTTGCACACTGAGCAAGGGCCTGAGCGGGGCAAGAAACCCAGTCTTCTCTCTTTACTTCTGCTTGAGAGTCTTCTTATTGGGCATCAAGGGAAGAGTCAAGGTTACAACTGAGGGAGACTTGTAACTCAGGGCTGTCCTCCTCCTGCTGTGGTGTGCACAGCTTAGACTGTTGACTTTAGAAACATGACACCCAGCCATTGTCTAAGTCATTTCTTTTTGCTGTCTTCTTTAACACTGCACTCGTTTGTAGAAAAATACCATTTTCTATTTTTTTAATTATGATTTTATAAAATAATTGGATAAATATTGAATTTATAAAAAATGTAACAACAATATCCAAAGAAATCGTTTGGCTTACTTCTGTTGCTGTTGTCTCCTTGCTCTTAAGTTCGTGTTCTCTCTAACCCACCAGTATTTTTAAACTCAAAAAAGTTAGTTTTTTTTCCCAGCTTCAAAGTTTGCTCACAAGTGCTCTGAATATGTTTACCAGGAAAAAATTTAAATGAAAATCATTGTTCAGATGTCACTCATATCAATCATTTCTCTGTAACAGCCATAGAGTATAAATAATTGCAATTGTGTGCCCTGTACTTGAAGGAGGAAAAAAAAAGATTACTTTAACAAGAGTCTGGAAGTGTCTAGCATTTTCAAAGACCATTTTCTGCCCATCCACTTCTACAAAAATCCCAATGACTCCAACAATGTTTCCAATTACACAACACCCACGTCCCTAGTAATCATCCCCTCCCATCATCCCCATAAGCATACTCACAAAAGCCCACTCATAGCTCATTTTACCAACTCCCTCCTCATGCCAGACATCCCTCCTGGCAGAAGGACCAGGATGAATCAATGGGGGTGAAGCAGTGGCAAAACCAATCCAGTCCCAGATTTGAACTACACCAAGGCCATTGGGTAATGTGGGGCTAACTTGCCATAACCACATGAAATTTGAAAGTTTTGTGCCCAGTGACTTCTCCCCACACAGACTTTGCTCATACAAACTATAAGGTCCACAAGAAGAAATTAACAAAGAGTATAAAGAAAATAGCTAAGAGATAGATGGCTTTTATGGGACTCCAATCATGAGTTTTTGCCCCAGGTTGAGAAAACTGATGTCTAGCCATCTAGAAGAATAAGCTCAAAACTTGTATTAGCTTCAGGACCCTGTCACCCACTGTAGCACTCAGGGCTGTGGAGACTGTCTTCTCTGACTACGAAGTCAAACTCGTGGTAACCCTTTGCCCACCTACAAAAGAAAGCCTCCCATCCTTCCTCTCTTTTTCATCTCCTTCCTGCACCCAAGAACTTCAAGAGCACCAAGAAGCTCAAAATCCTTACCCTTGTTCAGCTGTACTCTTTCCCTGCAAGGGGAGAAGTGTTTTGTGGTATGTGAGTATGAATTTGGGAAGGTTAATATTAAACTTTGCATTGGGGCTCAGTTTTACATTTTATGTCACTGGCTGCAAGGTGATTCAATAATCTGAACCTGTTGCTTCTCTAACAGGACCAGGTACCAGGTGACTTTTTTTACATACATTTATAAAAACAATTTTAACGATGCCCCATTTTATGAATGAAGAAATTATCTCAGAGAGTGTACTAAGGTGTAAATAAATTATTTAATCATCTGCTTCTTTGATGCTTATTAGAAATTTGAAGATGTTCTACCCAGACCCCTCGTTAAAGAAAGACCTGTTGTCCAGATGCAGGGAATGCAGTCAGCAGAGAGCTTTCAGCTTTGGGTTCCTTCAAGGTCTTCTTCCACTGCAGCGTGCAGCCTGGCCCCAGCCCCAGGGTGGCCTGAACCCGTGACTGGGCAAGGTTGGAGTATAAAGACTTGGCCATTTTGGTCCAATACATTGCACGCTGATGGACAGTACTCACTCCAGAGCTCTCTGCTGGGTTGGCCAAGGCTTGGTCAAGTCTACAGTGGTAGTTTGACTTTTCCCTCTGCTCCAACCTGTAACCTTCTTTTCTTTCACAGTTATTACTCTTGAATAAACATCTTGCATCCCAACCTCTATTGTGATGTCTGTTTCTGCGTGACCCCATTGCTAACCCTTACACGACTATTTAACGTCTCTCTCTTTACCCAGATCCAGCCTAGAATCTGTGACTTATCTTGGCCTTGACAAAGAACATACAGATAGTACATAGGTGAAACATTATCATATCCAGCTGCAGATTGTACTACTCAAAGTCCAGGGTCCCAGATCCCTGGGCACAGCCTTCTAACCCAGAAAGTGAATGCCAGATTTTCAGTGACTCTACTCTACTGAATTCCCAGCTTCTAAACTCAGATTTCCCCCAAACTGATTCTCCAGTATCTAATC